GTGTGAATTGCTAGCTTGTAACATTCATTTCCATATCTTGTGACATAACTTGTGTAAGCCTGTATTGCTTACTTGTGGTTGTGTGTATTATTCATTTATATATCTTGTGATATACATTGAGTAAGTTTGTGTAACTTACTTGTGCTTACTCATATCCTCGTTGTTCTCATCTTGTTTATCCTAAGTTGTTGGTGCACTTAGTTAGCCTGGTATATTTAGGATTTGTGCTTGAAAAGTATCCTCTTAGTTTATTTCCGCATTAGGATATAGCCAAATCCGTATAAGATTTTAAAACGCCTATTCACCCCCCCCCCTCTAGGCGACATCGTGGTCCTTTCAGTAGATGAGACATATGAGATGAAGAATATATTTCCTTTTTTAGGGTATGAGAGTTTTATTGAGGGAATTTAGGTATGAGATGAACAACCTTGCCTCCTTTGCCAATCAAGCAATGCTAGGCCAGCCTTCTGTGGCCCAAGCAGGAGGAGTATTAGAATGGGCCTATGAAATTGATGGCTGCTGGTAAGGCCGTGGCAGAATGGACAGCTCTGGACGGCCCATTTGTGAAACTAATCGTCCTCTTCAGGGCATTTTCCACTTGGCGCTTCAGGTGGGCAATCCCTATTTGGCGTTGTAGGCACCGGTTATTATTGTTTCTACAAACCAGCGTCTGCAGCGCATCCCCTCTGCTATGACTAGGCCGACCCATGTATCTACTTTTTTTTGTTTATAAGCTCAGAGAAGGTGCCCTCGTGAGAGCTCGAACTCACGATCTGCATCTTCTACGCCAACGACCGCAATCACTAAGCCATAGAACGACTAGCGTTTTATAACTTCTTTCCTTATTTTTATTTCCCTCTTCACTCGCGGGAAATCCTCCAGTTTTGGCTTTTTAGGTTCACTGGTCATTTTCCAGTGCAGTTTTATTCAGGTTTTCTGTTTCTTTTTTTAAATGTGCGCTTTTTAAAATTTGTGTTTTCTTCAAAATCAATGATTTTTTTTCCTTTGTAGTGTTTTTAAAAAGGTGAACTTTCTTCAAAATTGATATAATTTTTGCCGAATACGATGAATTTTTTTTCAAATTTCATGAAGTGTTTTTTTCAAAAATGATGAACTTCTTTTAATTTGATGATTTTTTTCAAAATTGATGAAGTTTTTTTAAATTTGATGAACTTTTTTCAAATTCAATGATTTTTTTTCAAAATTTATGTTTTTTTTCAAATTGATGAACTTTTTTCCAATTCGATGAACCTTTTTTCAAATTTGATGAGCTTTTTTCCAAATTTGATGAACTATTTTAAAATCCAATGAACTTTTTCTCAAATTAGTTGAATTTTTAAAAATTCGTATGCCTATTTGAATACACATGTTTTCCCGAAATTTTGCCTTTTTTTTCTTTGTTGTTTTTTAAAGTGAAAGCTTGACCGGTCAACCTATGCTCGAAGCGACCAAGGGGTGGACCGTTGAAGCGATCGCTCGCCTTACATGGGCCGACCTAGGAGCAGATGGCTGTGAACACCAGCTACCTGTTCGGGCGCTTAAGGCGCTGAATAGAAGCTCCCCTTCAGGCGTCCACTATAGGTCATTTTGCAAAAGGACGCACACCTCTTTCTATGAGCTGGGCCGACCCATTGATCTTTTTCTCTGATTTAAATCACAAAAATTGCGAGCTGGGTACGATTCAAACCGGTGACTCTGTGGTTCACGGTACGCCACAGTAACTAACCAGCCACCCTCATTTGATGTTATTACCTAGATATTTTTCAGTCTTCTCTTTTTTGTTCCTTTTTCTCTTTTTCGGAATAGTTTTTTTTCATTTTTCTTTTCTTTTTCTGTTTTGTTTTATAAATCCCCAATTTTTTAATTTTGCAAACATTTAAAAAAATCGATGAACTTTTTTCAAATTCATGAACTTATTCAAAATTGTTAACTTCTTCAATATTGATGAACTTATTTTCAAATTTGTGTTTTTTTTCAAAATTGATAAATTTTTTCAAATTCATGCTTTTTTCGAAATCGATGGCTTTTTTTTCAAATTCATGAACTTTTTTTCCAAGATCGATGATTTTTATTTTCAAATTTGTGAACTTTTGTTAAAATTATTTTATGTCAAATTCATGAAGTTTCTTTCAATATCAATGAATTTTTTTGAAAACCAGGGTACTTTTTTTCAAAATTGGTGATCTTTTTAAAACTTTGTGAACTTTTTCCAAAGTCAATGAACTTTTTTTCTAATACATGAGTTTTTTTTCCAAAATCCGTGAACTTTTTTTCTCATGTTTTTTTTTTATAATTTTGTAAACTTTTCTGAGTAACAATGATCAACGTGGGCCCTGGTTGGTGAACAGCGGTCAGTCAACTAGGAACCGGCCGAACCAGAAAATAAAAATCAGACGAACCAAGAACTTTTTTTTAGCGACCGAGCATGAACCCAGCGTTCGAGAGGTTGAAATGGGCCGGCACATGAGCGGGGGGAGCGCCAATATCTCTAATTGGCACATAAGGCGTCTCCTATGAGCACCCCTCTTCAGCGCGGGCGGGGATGACTCGTGCAATGACTTTGGGGCTGCTTGATTGCTACCCTGAGTACCTGAGCTCAAACACCTGACCATAGCCTTTACCTTAATTACTTACTTACGAAGTCTTTTATCCCAAATAAATTGAAGTAGGCTAAATATGAAACCCTTTCACGAGGACTTTTTAGGAGGTCACCTATCCTAGTACTACTCTCGCCCAATGAGTTTCATACCCAAAAGACTGCCTAGTTTTTACGTTGGCTCGCCAAGCCTATCACAATCTTAGATATGAAACTCTTTCACGAGGACTTCCCAGGAGATCACTCATCCTAGCACTACTCTCGTCCAAATGAGTTTCATAACTATGGAATTGGCTAGTTTTTACGTTGGCTCGCTAAGCCTATCAAAACTCTTATCCTTTACCTGGGCTTTGAACCGACTATGCCTAGAAGCATAGGCGGAGTTGACCATAGCCTCTGCCTGTGGGAAAAAAACATGTGATCTGCTAAACCTATGTTTGGTGTCACGAGAATCTTGCCTGCTTGACTCTACATGCAAACGCATCCCTTCCTACGTATAATCAGGGCGACAATCAAACATGGTTAAATATGAGGTGTGCTTTTTTTTGCGGGAATACATCCAATATATTCATCTTCAATCATGGCAGTCCAACAAACATCAGAAATAAATAAAAAATTACATCTAGATTCATAGACCACCTAGCGACGACTACAAGCACTGAAGCGAGCCGAAGGCGCGCCACCGTCACCGTCCCTCCCTCACCGAAGCCAGTAAAACTTGTTGTATTAGACAGTCGGAAAATCATCAAACTAAGGTCTCATAAGACCAACACACCAGAACAACAGCCGTCGCTGATAAAGTGTAGCATAGATAAAAAAGATCCAACCCGAAGACACATGAATATAGACGAATGACGAACAGATCCGAACAAATCCACCAAAGGCAGAGCCGCCCGAGACACAACTCCACACGCCCGTCGACGATGCTAGATGCATCGCCGGAATGTGGGTTAGACAGGAATAACCTTATTCCACCTTCAGGGAGCCGCTGTCATCTCACCTTCTGAGCATGACACAAACCCTAATAAACCTCAAAAGCACATCTAAAAACGGAGCCTCCCACCGGCAAGGACCGCGATCTACCACGCCCCATGGCCCTAAGGCCACTGAAGACGAGGCAGACTGTCGGCGGCGCCGGCGAAAGATGGAGGAACCCTAATTTCTTAGGGAAGAAGGCGGCTATGTCCGCTCGCGTTTTCTTAGGGTTCGGTTATTCTAAATATGAGGTGTGCTTGATCAGACAATTTCTCCAACAAAATCAGGCTACTCTCATGCATGCAAAATAGTTCTTTTTTTGAACCGCATGCATGCAACAAACATCCAGCGCGCCCTCAAGGCAGTAAAAGGGGGTGACAACCTAACAACCTCTTTTGCGAACCAACCCGCGGTTAGATGGTTAGAGGGACAATAGTATCCCCAGCCTATCAGGTTCAAGTCCTGGTGTTCGCATTATTTCTGAATTTATATTAGGATTTCCGGCGATGCGCTTTCAGTGGGAGAAGACGTTCCCATGTATGCGCATATGTATGAGCGCTTGCGTCTGCACTGATGTTAAAAAAAAAAACTTTTACAGCCTTGGGACCTCGCCGGTGTTCACTTGATTAACCAAAGAAACGAGACGGTCCAATGATAATTATTGGAGTTCTATGAAGGACTGCGATTTGTACAAACCAAAAGAGATATATCCTGTGTTCTCCTTTCATCTGTAGCTCAGCTCTACGGTATAGATCTCACGTAACCACGGTGGGCGAGGCAAATAAAAGTTTTTACATCGCTCCAGCATCACAAAGGGGTGGTGGCGCAGTTGGCTAGCGCGTAGGTCTCATAGCTAGACGTGAGTAATCCTGAGGTCGAGAGTTCGAGCCTCTCTCACCCCACAGTCACACTTGTAGTGATGAAACGCTCGGTGACAACTTTGGGTCGTCACCTTTGCACCTGTACCAACAGGTGAAAAGAGCAAATCTGAACCTGTGTCTCATTTTTTTGCCTTTTCGGTTAAAACATAGTCACGGTTTCAGCCACCGCTGCGCCCTCCTGAAACTAAATGCGCGTCTGTTTACAACCCAGAAAGCCTTTTTTTACAGCCCTGGAAAATGTACGTGTGAGAGTTGATAATGTGTGTGGTGTGGTGTTTGAACTCTATAAGCCGCGTCCTGGTGATGTTGTGATGAGAGGTCTTTACACCTTTTGCTGACAACACCATTAAAAGAAAATAAATGTGTTGGATATCAAAGTACTCGGGCCTTCAAATAGTGAGGAAAATATTCAAAAATGTACTACATCAATTCTCGCAATGAGTGGATTCAGCGTAGAATCCTGGTCAAACGACAGTTTATATTCAAGGAAGAAGTATCTTTAGCACTATTTGGAATTTATACTGGTAATGGTGATCTACATTATGGTCTCATCTGTCAAACCTTTGCAGCCTCCTACGGCGGATCTCATCAACCGAGAGGTCACTGCTTCCCCCATCCTGGAGATGTTGTCTGTTGGGAAAAACACGGTCCTCGCGCATGCTGTTGCACATCTCACAGATGTCTACCGAAGGTGAGTTGTCATAAGTGCAGGCCGAGCATCTCCACATGCCTCTGCCGCTCTCTCTTGCTGCACGGCGCCCAACTCTGCCCCCCTGACGACGACCCGGCCTCAGGAGCCTCTGAGCGAATTTCACCGGCCAACTCACAACATTTGAAATGCCCGAGATAAGAAGAGCAAGCGGGTCAGGTCCGGAGTATGATCGCTTTATCCAAAGATAGGCTAGACCAGCAAGAATCCCGCTAAGATGGCCAATGAAGGACGTCCCGGGGATGAAGGCCTGTATGAGGAGCAGTTCAGCCCACGCTGCATACTTTGCTGGAATGACCATCCCATGCAGGAAGACATAGTCATCTGACCAGGCATTCAGCACAATCTTCATACCAAACAGCACCCCGGAGAATCCAACAGCATATTGATCGTAATACGCAGTCTCATTGCCGAGAAGGAGTAGACCTTTGGACAAGAGCAATGTGAAGCCCTGAGACAGGCCAAGCAAGGCAGTGACCATAGAAGCAAACTCAACACTGCCCATTGATGTTTCAAGCTGTATGCCCTTCCACAAGAGAGACGTCATGTTGTAGAAGAAGTGGGTTTCACTCAGGTGGTAGAAAGCTGACAGGAAGAAGCGCGTCAGGTCGCCGTACTGCAACATGTTCACAACTGTTAAACTCAAGATGAGAGACACTGAAAAAATGAATCTAAAATACACTGATTACTCTGCACTACAACATTTTAGAGCACATGATGTGCACTCTGCTAGAAATTTCTGAAAGCAATAATCCTTGCGAAAAGGCCAACTAATCATTCTGAATCTGGCAAAGCTTTAATTTACTAGATATAGGGGTGTAAGGGGCACCATCAGGCCATAAACTCACGCATACATGTCACCTAGGTCCATGAATAATACCCTACGGAAAGGGCAATAAATCATTGTGAAACCATCAGAGCCTGCATTTACTGGATAAATAGAGTTGAAAAGGGCACAATAAGAGCAACTCTAGCAGGGCCTTCGAAATGATTTTAGAGTGCACTGTAAAAAATTTAAAGGCTCAAGAGCAAGTTTGCAGACTCAGAAACCCTAAAACACAACCTTTATATATTTCTTGGGCCCATTTTTCAGTCGGGCTGACCCTTTCTCGTTTCTTTCCTCCCCTCCACCGTCGCTCACTCCGCATAGTTTTCCACAAAATTCACCTTGGCTCACCAGAAGAGGGTGCACCGCCGGCTCACCAGCGGCGTCGGCATGCACGCAAGGGCTTAGGCAGGACATGAAACTTTTGTCCCCCCCAAAAAACACTAGGATGCGGCGCATTGTAACTCACAGCAAGTAAATATGACAACGTGGCACATGGACCAAATTTGACTCATATGATTGCTAACTACATCAATCATATGGTAGTGGAAAATGTCCAATGACATGTAAAAAAAATCTTCGCCCTACGAAATCATATAAATTCTTAGTTAACTAATATTGTGATCATAATCACTCACACATCAGAGATAGTTCATATGCTAATCTATAACTATATGGACCCAAGTTACAAGTCTGCTCCAGCTCATGGAATATGGTCGTATGTGGCACTAAATGTCCAACGGCTGTGAATATTGTCTTGAAATAAGAGAAGGTAGTATTACTTTTCTACTGATTTAAAATGCTGATCACATCCATTTCTACATTTTAGGGGCTAATGACTATTAGAAGAAAGAAAGCAAAACAACCCAAAAGTAGAAAACAGAGGCAAGCAGAGCAGACTACAGAGCAGGAGGACTAGAACGCAGACTTATAACTTACCGACCAAGGTGAGACATCAGCTCAGTTGCACTTTAGGAATATTTGATCTGGATATATCATAGGATATCATAGTTAAGACGGTGCGCCAGGTGACACCCTTTCCCCTCGGCCTTGATGCAAAATTATCCTGTCTCAGCTAGCCTGGTCGGTGATTAGGAACGGGTGACACCCAACTAGTGTTTAGTGCATTTGTAAACACCTTAAGGTTCAGATACTCTTAAGGGTGGCATAGAATAAAATGCACCCAGGGTTCTTCATCTTGTCAGCATCTTCCAGTTACACTCGGCTACTGGAGAACAGCAGAATTAACCCTAGGCATTTTAAAGGGGTCCATTAGAGGTCCAATCCCTGTTAAGTTGCCATCAGCCCATCACTAATCGGCTGCAGAAGACATCGAGGTCACAAACTCCATCGTGTCAGGAAGGGTATTATTTTCTATAAATTCATGTTCTTAAGGTTGCTGCATAGGAGATTCTTTCCTTTTAACTAGTTTCAGTTGGAACGGTCTTTTTACCAGTGATTTTGTAAATTACGTCTAAAAGTGCAATTTAGTTCTTTCAATGCTTAGGGCTGCAGCTCTTCTTTATCTCATCTATTAGTAGCACCCAGTCCCCCACCCACACACTAGCCTGCCCTCTGTTCTTAGCTCCGCCACTCCATCCCCCTTTTTACAATACAAACCCTACACAAAATACTACCGGAAACCACCGCCAATAGCCCCGCATCCTGTTCGACACAGCACAATCAGTACTGGGAACATATCGCGCTCCTAAACTTCTCAATCCTGTAGCCCTAGTCTAGAACAGAGAACAAATGTTGGTTTTCCATGTGCGATACGATTTCTTCTACCAGCGCAACATGACTCGGCCATAATCCACAGTGTGCGTACCTGGATGATGAGATGCGGGTTGAAGGCGACGCGGGAGAGCGGCGGGAGGAACGCGTCGAGGGCGCCCGGGCGGAGGTACACAAGCGCGTTGGCGGCGATGAGCGCCGCCGTCACGGGCGGGCGACTGGCGCCGGCGCGGCCGTACTCGAGAATCACCTGCAGGGCCAGAAGCGGCAGCATCCCGCTGGACGGGCCGCTGCCCCAGCCGCCGCCGGCGCCCCGCCGCCGGCCACCGCTCATGCCCGCCCCCATCCCCTAGAACTGGGGGACCACCAACCGAACACTGACTGGCACCGAGGAGGCAGGGCGCACGCAACTCGCTGCCCCCAATTCCTTTCCTGTTTTTTCTTCTCTCTCGCGCTCGAAATCTCTAGTTTCCTTTTGTTTCTGAAGATGTGTTTCTTTCTTCGGTCGCAAGTATGCCGCGAAACTTCCAGATAACTCCCGAGCAATGTTTCGCCTCGTCTTGTCAATCATTTTGCGAATAGTTTTGTTGCCCTATTTAATAGGTTAATTCATAAACTATAGTAAGGTTTCGATTGATGCTTTAACGGTTTAGTTAATTTCCATCATATTTTACGGTTTAGCAAAATTTAGTTAATTTCGATCATATTGTACAGGGAAACGTTCGCAGCCGGTCGACCGGCTGCGTGTTACGCCGGTCCCTCGCCCACATGGCCTGCGTACGCAGCGTCGTCCCCACACCCCTCGCACCTTTCTCTCCCACGCGTCACTAGTGGGCCCCACAAACCGCTTTCGTATCTCCTTTATCTCTTTCTTCCCGTCAACGCCACACATCTTCTTTTCCTCCAAATCACAAACCAAACACAGATCAGGCTGCTCCGGCGAGCGACCACCTCCACCACCTCCCGCGCTGCTCGACGAGCACAACCCCATCCCTTGCCCCATGCTGCTCCGACGAGCGTAAGGCTCTCACTTGCCCCGCTCTATTCTAGCGAGCAGCCGCCTCCACCTGCTCTGCGCTGCTCCGGCGTGCGCCGTCCTCCATCGGGTGATGGGCCGGTAGTTACGTCTTGCATGAGCAAACGAGATGCTGGAATCGGCCTCGGCGGGTGCTGCAATTGGCAATTTTTTGTTACAACCGCCTTTTGTTTTTGCTGGGAGCAGCAACATTTTTTGCTAGGATCCACATTTTTGGAAGTGCTTTTTTGCTACAACCATGCCAAATTTTTGCTACCATCGTTTTTTTTGCTACCATCGTTTTTTTTGCTACCACCGTCCTTTTTTTGATTTTTGGCACCCATCTTTGGTTTTTTTGCTGGATCCATCTTTCTACTAGAACCACTCTATTTTTTTGTTATGAGAGTCTTTGATTTGTGCTACCACCGTCTCCGTTTTTGCTACTACCCCGTCTTTCGACTTTTTTTGCCGGATGCATCTTTTTTACCTCTGAACCACTCCAAATTTGCTACCACTGTCTTTATTTTTTGCTACCACTGTCTCTGTTTTTTGCTACCAGTGTAGTTGAGTTTTGCTACCATCCCTTTTTTTGTTTTTTTTTCTGCTGGATACATTTTTTGCTCGAACCAGCAGTTTTTTTTGTTGGAACTGGTGTTTTTGTTAGCTACTACCCCATCTACAAACGGCGACAACGATGAACTTTCACTGAAAGGATGCAACTGGAGGCCGATTTTGCTAGAACCGACATCATAATTTTGCTGCATCGGTGTTATTTTTTGCGACAACCGGTTAATTGTTTTGCTACATGGCGACGGCTCGGTGCAGCGATGGTGTCCTGCCAGATCCAGCAAGGACCAGTGCTGCGGGGACGGCGAGCCGACGGTGCTTCGAATCAGCGGCACGCGCGGCCATGGCGGGCTGCGCGAGCGGGCCGGGTGCGCCGGAGATTTCTATTTTTTTGTTCTGGCATGATGTGCGAGACGAGGAAGGAAAAAAAGGCCCAGATCCAACGGCAGATGAAACTGCAATCGTACGGGTGCGCGCTGACCGGCCGAAATTCGGCCGGCGCACCGGCGCCTAGTAGTGGCCTATTGTACATCTGTCGGGTTTGCGAAACTGCACCGCCCATCACTGGACTCATGGCTTCAGTGGTGTTCTGTAAGTGCTCCACTGTTCCATTCTTGCTAACTGAAATTGGGGATTAGGGTTAGGGTTTACTGCCTGCATGTTTAGCACTCTAATTGCTAGTCCTAACTAGAGCAGAGAATTATAGTGGATTACATGAGTCCTAACTAGAGCAGAGCAGCATTATGTGTTACCTAACTAGAGCAGAGGAGAGCAACATTAGTGGATTACATTGTTATTTCTTAGTCCAAATTGTCAGAGCAGCATTAGGTGTTACCTAACTAGAGCAGAGCAGAGCAGAGAAGCATAGTGGATTAAATGAGTCCTAACTAGAGCAGAGCACCATTAGTGGACAATTATGTTAACTACTTATCTGAAAATACAAAACATCAGTTTGCTGTGAGTTAACTACCCATTCTGTAATTAGGGTTGCATTGAGATAGTTGTTTACATTGTTTGATTTTGTAGCAATTGTTTAGTTTATTCATATTGTAAGGGTAAATAAAAGCTTTGTTTATATGTTAACTTAAACAAAGCTTTGTTTATATGTTAACTTGTTTATATGTTAACTTAAACAAAGCTTTGTTTATATGTTAATTTGTTTATATGTTAACTTAAACAAAGCTTTGTTTATATGTTAACTTAAACAAAGCTTTGTTTATATGTTAGCCTATCTGTTAAGTAAAATTGTTTATTGTTAACCATTTTTGTCTTTTATTTCATTTTGCAGTTTGTATGATGACATTTTGGATGTTAGGTTCCATTTTGATGCTTCAGAAATGTTTGAGCTGAAGCTCTGCAGTTCACATGTAACATATCTGAATATGATTGCAGTGATGGAAACCCAAGGATTTAGTGAATATGATCTGCTGTTTCACATTGAGAATTCAGATTTAGGGGAGAAAGGATTGGAGATGGTAGAGAGTAAGGCTGAGTTGCAATTAGTAAAGAGGCGGGGTTGAGGAGTGTAAGGTTATAAATTTGCTAGTGAGGGCATGTCCACCTCCTTGCAGCCAGTTTGAGAGGCAAGAACTATCCACTCTTGTGTATGAAGAACCTGTGTTATATGATCTCAGTGAGCCACCCATCTATGTTGTTGATCAAGAAGGAGTTGCCTTTGAAAGTCAGAGTAGCAGCTACAGTGTAGCTCATGGTACTGGTGTTTGCACACAAGAGAGCAAGAATGTAAAAGGAAAACTGAAAGCTGTTTTGGAAATAGAAGAAGAAGAAGGATATGATGGCAGTGGTGGTTTTGATTGTGAAGGTGAAGATGACAGTGATGTAAACCCTTTTTATATGGGTGATGCTGATGACACAGAGATGGATGAGGGAAAGAAACAGAGAGAGTATGATGAAATAGAAGAGGAAGAAACAGATGATGAAGAATCTGAGGAGGAAGAAGTGGTGCATTATGAGGGTGACACAGAGGTTGAGGAACCTTTTCAAATGGATGAAGACGACAAAGTTGTTTCACAGGATGAGGAAACTGTAATTGTACATGAAGAGAAGAAGAAGAAGAAGAAGAAACAGAAGCTTCCAGTTAGGAAAGGGCCTACAACAAGGACACATTCAAGTGTAGTACAAGAGGAGGAACCTGATTTCAAACCTTCATCTGATGAAGAAGTGAAAGGATTGTTGAAGGAGGCTGATGATGATGGTTTTGAGCCATTGTCATTTGTGCTGCCAAAGAAAAGGAAGAGCAGGGCAAAGCAGAGGCCTCCTAGAAAATGGTACAATGAGAAAATGGAGGCACCGCATGAGCAATTATGTCTAAAGATGTGTTTCAAGGATCAACATCAATTCAGAGAGGCTTTGTTGAACTTACACATCACTCAAGGCAGAAACTTCAAATATCATAGGAACTCAGATCAAAGGATAATTGTAGAATGGAACCAAAAACATTGCAACTTCTTTATGGTGGCAGCAGTTATAAAAGGTGAAACTACTTTTGTAATTAAGAAGATAAGAATTAAACACACTTGCCCTATTAGTACAGAGACAAAAATTCCGGAGAAACTAAACATGACTGAGCAAAGCACATCACAACACATTGCAGTGTCATCGTACATCATCCATCTCACTCGTGACCCGGTGACTTTGGCTTCACTACAACCACACAGGAGCACCCGCATCGGCATGTCCGCGACAACCATGTTCTTCAACCCCATCGACACCAGAGAGGGAAGGCATATCCGAAGAGAGGCGGACATGTGCCGCTCCGATCTCGAGAGGAGGACAAACAAGGCTTGCCTGATACACTTCACATGTCAAGTGTGCTTCTGCTGCCCTCCACCGTCGTGCCACAGCCAACCAAAGATGACCATGCCATCACAGACTCCACACACTGCCGGAGCCGACCATCCAGACCACGGCAAACCAGATGCACCCATCGAGACACAAGTGGAAAAAAGCCTAGCTATGGCGTGGCAAATAGTGCCTTGCTGACGCAGACACCCAACTCCACCAATATGGCGCCATTGTTAAGAAATAGTGGTGGCGTTGGTTGACACGTCAGCAGTAACGTACATCGTGCTGGCGTGTAACTAGTCCAGTGCCAGCACTAAGTTCATCAGAACTCTGACGTCCCTACTTGTCCAACGCCAGCAAATGCTTTTTTGGTATTTAAAAAGAATTGCTCGTCAACATTGCTACTTACTTAATAGATACTACTGAACACAATATACTCATCAACATTAGGTACTTACTTAATAGATAGTCATTAAAAAAGAGGCTCATGAACTCAATAAGTTGATATTAATTAAACTTCACAAAAGTTGCTCACTCAAGTACTCTAGTTACTCGGTCATCATCAACTAATAAGATGAAGTGCTAGCTACTTAAAAACTAATCTTCATCATCAAGGAGTATGCACAGCTGGAGAAGCTTCTTTCTATCCCCCTCTCCTTCTCTTCTGAAATGATCTATGTCCATCTTTGATACGTCTCCAACGTATCTATAATTTTTTATTATTCCATGCTATTATATTACCCGTTTTGGATGTTTATAGGCTTTACTTTACACTTTTATATCATTTTTGGGACTAACCTACTAACCGGAGGCCCAGCCCGAATTGCTGTTTTTTTTGTCTATTTGAGTGGTTCGAAGAAAAGGAATATCAAACGAAGTCCAAACGAAATGAAACCTTCGGGAGCGACCTTTTTGGAACAAACGTGATCCAGGGGACTTGGAGTGGACGTCAATCAAAA